CCGAAAACATTTTTCGCGATATACCAAAAAAAAATTTGCCGGACATATCATAAAATTTTCAGTAACATCACGTCATTTTCGGGAAATACAAAAATTTTTCCACAACCGATCAAAATTTTCCCGAAATTTTCACCGGTTTTGCCCGAATTTCCCATTCATTTTTGCCCGACCGTAAAAATTGGGGGGGGGGCACGTGCCCCCCGGCCCGTTCGCCCATGTCTGGACCGGTGTCCCGTTTATCTGGCGGGAAATTTTTGCTTTGCAAACAGAAAAATTTTTTGCTTTTTAAATTTCCGATTGTGCTTTACAGATAAAAATTTCAAACAACCAAATTGTTTTTGATTGAGCATGCATGCCTACCCGATATTGTTACCCAGTGAAACTGACGATAGCCGATTTAATTCACGCGAAATGTGCATGCTTACAGACTCAGTTTAGCCATATGATAAACCGATTATTGACCTCGCTTGTTCGGTCTGTACTGTGAAATATCAGACCTCTGTTTTTTGCATGGACCTCGCTCCTTCGTCGCTCGGTACATACTAAAAAACCTTGGTCTGATATTTCACAGTATAGACCTCACGCTCGGTCAATAAGCCGTTAATATTTTACGCCGATAAAAATGTCCGTGAATTGATAGTATTATATAGAGGCCTTTTACGCCGTTATAGTTATTGGCGTAAAATATCATAGTAAAGAACGTATTGTCATCCAAATTTACGCTATTAGTTATTGCCGTAAAATGTTACAGTAAACATTTTACGCCAATAACTAATGGCGTAATTTTGGAGCAAAATACGTTTATTTACTGTGACTTTTTATGCCAATAACTAATGGCGTAAAATTAGAGCAGAATACATTATTTAATGTGACATTTTACGCCAATGACTAATGGAGTAAATTTGGAGCATAATACACTATTTACGGCGACATTTTACGCCAATAACTAACGGCGTAAATTTCCCAGGTATAAGTTTATATAAATATATCTATATACATTATTTTCAAACTGCGTCATTTGCTTAAAAATTCACAATATATATACTGTATATACAGGCAACTATCAACACATCAACATTATTCCAGTATAATATCTGATGCATGTGGTGGCCAGTTCTTGTACCAATCTGATGTAAAATTATGCAAGTTGTTTCTCAATGTTAGGCCAACTGTAAGCTATACATTAAAATGTTGCACTTGTGTATGTTGGTGCTTTCGTTCCAATGTCAACATCAGATTCAGACTCTAATGTGAACTCTGAGATTTTTTATGCCATCATCCATAAAACTTTCTGCTACACTTGCTTGACTGAGGCCGCTCTGCATCAACAATTTCACTCTTGTTTCATATCTTTGGTCTATGGAAAACAAGTTGTGGAAACCTTTTACGCATGTACTTTTCATAACATTGTTTATGGCATTTCACTTTCAATGGTAGGTCCTTATCAGCAATTTGAATCAAAATACTTTCATCAGCTTTTTTGTTGCAGCTTCTTTCAGTTTTCCACCATCGACTGTTTCCGCAGACACTATTTTGTGTCCTTTGTCCAGCTTTCGCTATTTCGACTTCTATATAATAAGAAAACCATGCATAGAAATCACACAACCGTTATAATGGGCCCGGAGCGGCTTAAGGCAATGCAATCAATATATAATTATAAAACCCATATTAGAAAAAATATCAATAATTGTAAAAAAAATAAATCAACAAACCCCTGACCGACTCAGTTAAATATACAACCTTTCTGATTTGCAAAATTGCAAATTATAAAAGGGCATGGCAATACGTGTAGCCTGCATGGCAGGCTGTATTTCTACGGGCAGCGAAAATTAGGGAAGCAAAGGAAATACCGTCTGCCGCAAAACTAGGGGTTTTTGAATTACCCGTCCGCTGGTGAACGGGAAAAACCGATTGGTTAGTATTTTTATGTAGTTGTCAATCAACCGCTAAATTCAGTTAAATGTTAATCATTAACCAAATGTTTTGACGTTTTGAAACTCTGCGTTTTGAAATTAGTTCACGTCAAGTCAGACCAGAAATGGAATAACATAATAAAAGAAGCAAATTAAAAGATACAAGCTGAAAAATAACACTCTAAATAGTGTTATTGATAGAGATTCGAATAAGAATATTTAACAAAGAAGATACGTCCGAAGGGGCCGAAGTTATGATCGGCGAAAGGTATGGGCTAGTCTATATTTTCGTTCAGACAATAATTACATGCGTATTAATTTTATAATATACTATCTCGCTTGACTTTCAAAGGCCATAAATCGCAATAATGTTGACATTTTACTAAAACTATCGATAGAAATTAGGAGATATTTCTTCACTGAATCGAACAGTGGGATTTCCATATAGGCCTATCAGTCATGTTCTGAACCAAAGATACTTGATAGATATTATATACGAACCTCCAAAGTATAAACAAGGGGCCGGTTGATGCAGTAATTATCAAATCACAGTTAAACTCTTATATACCCGTTGAATATGTATAGTTGTAAACAAATAAAAACTATCGTTCTATAAGGTTCAATACTTTCAGTTTGGTTGTTGACTGATGATGAATCTATAGTATAGACTTGCATGCTTTGTATTTTGAGCTTATTAAACCACCGGCCGTTTTAAGGCAGCTAAACGGCTAAACGGGCTTGGTTTATATTAACACATAAAATAAATTCCTTGATTCTCATCACTAGACATACCCTGGTTCCAGAGGTTTTTAAACCTCTGGAACCAGGGTACACTAGACACAGTCTACACTTTGAAATGTCGAAGACAGTGGGAGATTTATTTTTTATATTTTATATTTATATAATTTATATATCAATAGTTCGTATCTCCACGAACAATGACAGAATGAATGAGTTTCTTTAAAATACAATGAAATTTCACTCAAAATTCTGTTTGTTTCAAATTGGAAGTTTAAAATGGCAATAAAAACTCTATATAAAATATGAAAAAATTAACTGTCTTGAATTATTTTGTCGGGCGGTACATTTATATTGTATAACGAAAAATAAAACGTTTTCACGAGGATTTTATGTTGGGCAGTTGGGACTTGGGAGCAGCTTGGGAGTGGCTAATTTTGAATATTTACTTAACTAATGCATCTATAAATAGCGTTGATGCTTCAGGGGCGGTAGTTCATTTACACCCAGTTTTGCGGCAGGCGGTATTTCCTACGTACCGCCTGCCATGCAGGCTACAATACGTGGGGATTCCATGATTTACCTGCCCCACTCGTACACACGTAAAATTCTCACATCTTGTAACAAGTTTGCCCATACCTAATTTTAAGAATTTTTTATCACTGCACATTTTTGCGCAAAGTTTAGCTGCGCAAACTTTAACCGCGCAAAGTTTAGCTGAGCAGAGGCACGCCCTAAAAATTTCTGAACACAACTTTATAATAATGTGTAACTACAATTGATATTCAAAACTGCTAAAACCAACATACACTACACAGCACCCAGGGTTGCCCAGGGAAATTTGGGTACTCAGGGCCAAATTTGACTTGGGCCCCTTGTGATTCCATCTTCTAACACTATGATTAGGGGTTTCGAGGCCATTCTCCCCGGGAAAATGTTGAAATATGAGGTCCCAGAAATGGCCAATTCCTTCATTCTGAAAGTCTGTTGACAGTTATATCTATGTATATTTTACTGTAATTCTTTATTTGGGCCCCCCTTTAACTGAGGTCCCAGGAAAAATTGCCCCTTCCACCCCATATGGCGGCCTTGACAGAACCTACGACAAACCTCTAGAGGAGTTCCAGGGACATACACTCACAGAAAATTTTGTAATCTAGGCTCTCTAAAAGGGAATTTCGTGCAATGTACGGAAATATTTTATAGAATTCTAAAGATTACAGTACACACTAATTACAAAAAGATAAGTCTCATTCACTTCATCGTCCAAGCTCATATAAAGAGATCTTTGGTCAGACTTTGTTCATCTGTTGAAAAAATATTTGTAATTGAAAAAATATTTGATTGAAAACAATTAGTGCATGTATAATTCAATATTCAATTGGAGCTTCTTTTATAAACAACAAATAATTTTTTTTTTTGGATAAAAAACAGTGAATAACAATGAGATGGCCTCTTAATACAAGTCTTTGACTTCCTGAGGTCTTCTCGCCACTTTCAATATGATATACATAAATATAAATATATAGCATACCTAAATATTATTACAATAATCAATGTAAAAAACTGAAAGAAGTGGTAAATAAATTGAATTGAATTGAATCTGATGAACCTGAAGTATAATATTAGTGCACGTTCGATAATTTCGCAGCTATCATTTCAATTCCATTCAAATTATTCTTATTCAAAATGTTTTGATTAATACTGTCAAGTGTCAAGACGAATTTTTAGTTCAGTTCTTCTGCTCATTGCCTGATTTTCGTGTTAATTAACAACTTATCACACCAAATTTTATCACTGCACATTTTAGTTTTATCACTGCACAAATTGGTTATCACTGCACACTAAAATTAGATATGAGTCTGCCAACAAGCCGTCAACAAGATGTATTCTCACTGCTTGTCACAAGTTGTCAACAGGTTTGGAACAACTTGTTGACAACTTGTAACAACCTTGTCAAAGTTATCAGACTTGTTGCAAGACTGTTCTGACAAGTCCGTCACATGCTTGATATAACAAGATTGTTAAAACCTTGTGTTGACAACCTTGTAACATCCTTGTCATATCATGGTTGTAACAAACTTGTTAGCACAGTCTTGTAACAAGGCTGATCATGCCATCAAGATTCTTACAAGTGGTTAACAGCTTGTTTCAAACTTGTTACAACAAACTGGGAACAAGCAGTGCGAAAACAACTTGTTGACAGCTTGTTTGCAGACTTGTTACAAGCTGTGCATTTTTTACGTGTGTAGGCAAACTCGCCCTACACCAGGGGCGGCGGAACAGATTTTGTTCTGGGGGGGCTAAATTTTTTCGGCCCGCCCCCCCCCCCTCCCGTCGCCAAAAAAATTTCGGAGGAAAAAAATTTTTCCGGAATTTTTTCGGCGACCTCCCCCACCCCCCGTCGCCAAAAAAATTTCGGTCAGTGTACCACTTTAGGGGTATAATATACAAAAAAAGGGACGAAAAAATTTTTTCCGGACTTATATCAAAAATTTTTTTCGGAAATACGCTTTTTTTAAACAAAATATTGCAAATTTGGCCCCTTATACCTAAATTCTCAAAAAATAACCTAAATTTTTCCCTAATTTTCAATTGTTTTCCGAAAAATTCAAATTTTCTGGGGGGGCTAAGCCCCCCCACTTTTACTTCTGGGGGGCTTTAGCCCCCCTAGCCCCCCCTGTTCCGCCGCCCCTGCCCTACACACGTAAAAATGCACAAGTTGTAGCAAACCGTACCTGCAGCAGACTTGTAACAATGCTGCTCCAACAACTTGTCAACAGGATGTGTTCGCACTGCTTGTTTCCAGCTTGTTGACAAGTTGTCAACGGCTTGTTGACAACTTGCTACAAGGTTGTCGAACTCAATAAACTTGTTACAAGTTGTTCCAACAACTTGTGATCGTCCTGCAATTCAACAATTTGTCAACAAGTTGTGTGACAACCTTGTAGCAACTTGATAAAATAACTGCAGTATGTTTACAGCTTGTCGACAAGCTTGCTACAAGTCTGTTGCGAACACATCTTGTTGACAAGTTGTGAGATTTTTACGTGTGTAGATCTCAGCATTTTCGTTACTGGTGGAGTTACATGTGATTCCGTTTCTCCATCAATTATGTCGATACAAGAGGATGAAGGTACACCTTCTTTGTCCATATTCTGACAACGCTCTTGAACTGGTTGATCATACTGCTATTTGTGAATACCGAGTAACAACCTCGATGATAAGAGAAATTTGCATATTCGATATTTTGGACTGTGCTATTTCCATGCTATCGCCAACAAATTGCAAACTTCTTTTGGCAACATTGCGTTCTTCCCCGTCTAGCGTTAGCCAAATTCTACGGCAATCCAAAAATTTTTGATACATAATTACCACACTACTATAGAAATACATGCATGCAACAACCCTCGCCCATATTTTCCAAACATTCTTTCAACATGAAGTATTCGTAACTACGCCAACACTGAAGACTGAACGCAGGCTCGCGTTGCCACGTCATGTTAGTCGTGGCTACACAATAATTGTTTTTTTAATTTTTTGTACAAACCGGGAAAAAATAGATGAAATTTGAACACTTTTAAATACAGAACTATCAATTTCTAAAATATATAAAGAAGGTATAATATTTTCGTTTCCATGGGCTTTATTTTAATGTAAAATTCAAAACGAAACTCTACCTAAAACGTTTTTAAATGTGAATTGAAATTAACTGCATTTTGCCGATATTTATAAACTTCTCAACTCGAGCTTTAACTTATTACTCGCACTTTGAAATGAAACAAATTTAATTCGTACAGGACGCTAATGAAAATAATTAGCTTTCCTTTTTATCATGAACTTCTACAAAAGTTAATTTAAATAAGAAACTTTCGCAAACAATGCATAGGAAAGACTTGAACATCAAGAACAAAGTCTATATTATTAAATACAAAGTCATACATAAACAATTGAAACAAACTTGCCCTATACTTTAGGATTTATCATACAATATCAATTCTTATCAATGTTTACGTTTAAAAATTGCAAAAAAGTTGTACAATTTGTTATGTCACTAAACGATTTTCCAAGCTTTCTTACATGTTTTTTTTTATATTTTTTTGCCTTCTTCACTCCTAGCAAACAGCCATATTTTGAGATCAGTGATGACCACCCACTGAACACAGTTGGTGAGCGCGCCCACGATCATTGATGAACTTTAGACTTCGCTTATGCTTTCGTTTTCCCGGGTGTAAACAGCTGGGAGGAATTAGTACCCTCGCACGGCGCTTCGCGCCGTCGGCTCGGGGAAAACTTGTAAGTGGGCCTTTTTCCCATCAAAATGAATTAAACTGCACATGAATCAGAAGACGCCATGTTTACAAATGCTAAGCTGGAAACGCCATGTAAGAACGAGTGTGAGCCCGCGAAAATCGCCATTTATGGTTTTTATTTTAAATACACCAAGTATCCCGAACAAAAATGGCGGCGATTGATTGGCGAAAGATGTCGATTTCTTAAATTTTCGAATTGAGGAAATACTCGAAAACTGCAGGTTTTGGGAAGTGCAAACAAGCGGATTTGGACTTTTTATGATTTATCCTAATTTTGTATCTTGTTTCAAAGTACATAGTGCCCGAACCCGGGCAACGGAATTCGTTTTCTATATTATAAATCGACTTTTCGTGCCACAGAATACGGCCTGAAGGTACAAGAGAAAGAAGGCACCACATATAAAGCAGGAGCTTTCTAAAGTGATAACTATTGATCTGAAGCTGTAAATTACTATTTAAAACTGACTATCCTCTGATGAACTATTTAGTTATAATCAGCTAGAGAATAGTCAGTTTTAAATAGTAATTTACAGCTTCAAATCAATAGCTACCACTTTAGAAAGCTCCTGCTTTATATGTTGTACCCTCTTTCTCTTGTACCTTTAGGCCGTTAAATATTTATTTAACTTTAAATACATTTTTCTCAAATTCGTAAAAATTAGCGATTTCTATTAGGCCTATTGCGTGCAGGATATCTCAAGACAGATTTAAGCTATCTTGATGAAATTTTCACTACAACTCAATATATCTAGGCTCTAGTAGTTGAATTAAAATAATTCAATTTCTTCTAATAGATTTGAAGCAGTGACAGTTTTTATAGAAACCGTCATTTGCTTTTTGAGTATTTTGTCCACAAAACTGTTAAAACAGCTTCAATGCAGATAGTTGTAGTTCAACTCCTAGGCCTTGTTTTTTGTCAGTAAATAAAAGTTATTCCATGATTTTAATCTTTAATCCTTATCTAGAAATCATGTTTATAAAATTACCTGAATTTCACAGTGGAGGGTGTATTATCTCAGCAACCATGACAACAACACTTTGCAACAACATTTTTGTCAGAGAATCAAGCCTGACAACATACTAATATATGCGTTTAATAATATGAAAAAGTAGAAAAAATGATTTGGTAAAAGACTCCCTTATTAATAGAATAGAACACCTCGAATTTGCTTAAAATAACTCGATCGAACTCCCCGCTAACTCGAAATAGCTCCAATTTCCCTCGATTTTCCCTGAAATTTACACTGGTCAACTCGAACTCGCTTAACTCGAACTCCTCGCAAACTCAAAAAAAATTCATTTTCCCTTGGTCAAATTTACCCGGTTAACTCGAACTGTATTTTTGAGACATGGATCGGAATCAATCGGATCAAGTCGGAAGCTTGGACTTCTATTCAGGCAAGGACAATTTAATCCGTATATATTATATAATATATACTAGAAATACATGCATGCAACAACCCCTCGCCTATATTTTCCAAACATTGTTTCAGCATGAAGTATTCGTAATTACGCCAACACTGAACGCAGGCTCGCGTTCCTTCCTGTTAGTCATATTACAAATAAATATGGCTGCCGGACGTGCTTTGTGTAGCTCCTACGAAAATCAAATTAAACAGCTTCAAGTAACCTTCTCCCACATTCTATTAAAGTACGAAAGCTATTTAGAGTATAACAACGACAATAAAGTAAAATGGTCCGGCGGCTTAGTGAAACTAAAGAGTTTTGTTGTCGATTTATTCGGCGATGAAGGCAAGTGGAGCTCGCCTGGAGGGAGTGCGAAATTATTTTAAAGTAATTGGATTAGCATTACTTGGTACGCTAATACGGAATCAATTTTATTTCAAGGCGAACTGGGAATTAAACTGAAGGAACTAATAGAGAACTCTTCCAAGAATAGGACAACAACGAACTTGATAAATATAAGCGACGAGTCAAAATGTTATGACCGCTTATTCGACGAATTAATCGAAATTAAGCAGAGCGTAGCAAATATGTCAAGCGCTATGAACAAACTTTACGATCATGTAGCCTTTACAGTTAATTACATCTATAGTCAAGATCTAACCTCAAAGAAAACGGTGTCTGAATGTGGTACACAGACGGATATATACCCGATGAGTACAAATCTTGCTCACATTGATAATCAAGGCACAATCTTTAAGAATGCGGTGTGTGAGATCGGTATTCAAACGGACGTTAACCCGATAAACGAAAATCTTACCCAGAATAAAGTCAAAGAGCATATACCCAGTTCGTTTTACGAGCTTTCGACCGATCTTGAGGGTACTAAATTAGATATCGTAATTATGAACGCAAATTGCAAATGGGGTTCGTGAGAATGGTCAAGCAATAGATCAAACTCGTGCCGAATTGGCAGATATCAGAGATGATCAGCAGAAAGCCGCACATCGCGATAAAGCAATAATAGAGTTATTGTCAAAGCAAAACAGTGCTCTCTCTGATAAAGTTAATACTTTGAGCTTAGACTTGGAAAAATTGAAAACAAAATTACATAAAGTTGAACAAAAGCATGTTTCTGATCACCCTACTCATCGATGCGTACATATAGTGGCCAAAACAACAAAAGGTCACGAATCTGAAAATCTTTTACTACAACAAATAAGTGAGAAACAGGGTAATACCCCAGTTGACTCGTGTGTCAACCGGCTGTGCCCAAACCAACGAATCTTCGTACCCGGTGACAAAACACAACAGTGTGACTAAACGAGAGGCCAAACTAACACATCTACATCAAGTCGGCCTAATTGTTATGGAATTGTTATGGAATTGTTATGGAATAAGAGGTCATACGCTTGCTTGGTTCCAGTCCTATCTTTCTAGCAGGATTCAAATATGTAAGGTAGATCTAACAATGTCCACGACAAGAACAGTTAAATGTGGAATACCCCAAAGTTCTAATCTTGGGCCACTTCTTTTCTTATTATATATAAATGACCTGCCAAACTGCCTGACCTCATCTTCAGCAAGCATGTTTGCCGATGACACAAATGTTTCAACCAATGGCAAAACAAATGACGAACTACAAGAACGCATTAACGTGGACGTAGAAAATATACACCAATGGTTACTTGCAAACAAACTTACACTTAACAAAGATAAAACTGAATACACGCCTGGCATTTTTGCACGCGAAATTGCACATTCAAAATGTGTCAATTTTTTTCGTTGTCGCGCGACAATTTTGGGAGCTTGGTAGCGAATTTGATAATTGAAAAATTCCTCAAATTCCACGAGCGCGTGCTTGTGCGCGTTTTCCTTGAGGGTTATTTAAGGTAAACAGGGAAACAGAGCGTGTCTCGGGGATCAAAATGATATCAAGATTACCATGGTTACGCGGAATGTTTTGCCACAGGAGCGCTTGTTGTTCGGGGCATTCAGGGCGCTGTAAAACACGGGCGGTGAAACGGCTATGGCGCCCCTGATCTATGTGTGATGCAGGTCCCCCCGCATATTTTCATTTTTATTCGAATTCTTAATAATAGCTTTATTCATCCATCTTAAGATAAAAAAGTACAATGGACTTACAATTACTTGTTTAAGAAAGTATATATGCTGCGGATACGTCTTTATATTACAAATTGTTGTAAGATAATTTAGAAAACTAACTAAGAAGTTAAAACTAATAAATTCTTTAATCTAATAAGTTCTTCTAATAAGTTAAAACTATTTATACATATTTACAAGCTCTACCTGAAAATGAATGTTTATGCCTTTCAGTTCCTGAGAAGAATGATATATTGCGATTCCGGTCAATGTTCCTTAAATTGTACTGATTGTTAATTAATTTTGGCAAAACACTGCGACAGGGATGGTGTGGATCGTTCATAAACCTATCAACTTCTCGACTAGTTGCCTCTTCCCTTCTTTCGTTCAACGGTGGTAGGTAATCTTTTTCCAGGCCAAGGATTCTTAAGCTCCTGGATTGGACCCGCTCTATTTCATCTCGCAGGTAATTAGGGAGTCCCGCCCAGACAGGTGATGCATACTCGAGAATTGGTCTTATTTTGGATTGATAGGTAATAATACCGACTTCAGCTGGTAACTGCGATTTCCTGCATTCTCTAAGATGGTAAAGGCGTTTATTTGTGGTTTGATCAGGCATGCATGTTTGTTTTGACTTCTTTTTAAAATTACTACGTAAAAAGGTACAATTCAAGCTGAATTCACAATGGATTTGGGATCTGTGCTATTACTATAGACAAAATCTTTTTTCCGGATTCTTAATCACGGCTGATTATATGGGGAATGTTGTAGTGTAAGATATAAGTCTGGGATTTCACTCACGAGGATCGATTGTTTTTGCAAAACAACTTCGTTCGTTCATAAGATGAAAAAAAAGACGAAGACAAAGTTTTTTAAACGGCTGTTGTTGTAAAACCTGCAACTGGAATGTGTGTTTGGAAATCAGGTATGTTCAATCACACGTATTTTTGTCAAGTTCCACCAGATGAATTGATAAAAACAGCAAGTTTTTTTTTTCAAGCGATAGTTTGTTGTCGCAGTTTTAAAAGCGCGGAAAATTTTTAACTTTTAAATATTTCATGCACAATATATGAAAACTAGTTTTATTTTGATGTTTTTGTATAATTTAAGTACCTAGTTTTCTGAAAATCACCAAATGAGAATGGGCTTTTTTAATTTTTAAACATTTTTTTGGCCTTGTTTTCGACATGTGCATGCCAAATCTACACATGAAATACAAGCAAGCGATAGTTTGTTGTCGCAGTTTTACAAGCGCGGAAAATTTTTAACTTTTAAATATTTCATGCACAATATATGAAAACTAGTTTTATTTTGATGTTTTTGTATAATTTAAGTACGTAATTTTCTGAAAATCACCAAATGAAAATGGGCTTTTTTAATTTTTAAACATTTTTGCCCTGATTTAGTTTGACCGTCCATGCCGAAATCTACACATGGAATAGCATTGCCTTCGACTTTGCGTTTTTGAAATCTGACACCCTATGAAAAAAGCTGGAAAAAAGTATGTTTAAGCAAAAAAGCCCATTCTCATTTGATGATTTTAAGGAAATTACGTACTTAAATTATCCAAAAACATCAAAATAAAGCTAGTTTTCATATATTGTGCATGAAATATTTACAAGTTAAAAAGTTTCCGCGCTTGTAAAACTGCGACAACAAACTATCGCTTGCTTGCATTCGATATGGCATTGTGTAGATTTGGCATGCACATGTCAAAAATAAGGGCAAAAAAATGTTTAAAATTAAAAAAGCCCATTCTCATTTGATGATTTTCAGGAAATTACGTACTTAAATTATCCAAAAACATCAAAATAAAGCTAGTTTTCATATATTGTGCATGAAATATTTACAAGTTAAAAAGTTTCCGCGCTTGTAAAACTGCGACAACAAACTATCGCTTGCTTGCATTCGATATGGCATTGTGTAGATTTGGCATGCACATGTCAAAAATAAGGGCAAAAAAATGTTTAAAAATTAAAAAAGCCCATTATCATTTGACGATTTTCAGAAAATTACGTACTTAAATTATCCAAAAACATCAAAATAAAGCTAGTTTTTATATATTGTGCATGAAATATTTAAAGGTCAAAAATTTTCCGCGCTTGTAAAACTGCGACATCGCTGTGAACATGCAATTTGGAGTCTTTTGGCGGACATTTCAGTTGCATATTGTAAGTTCGAAAAGAGAAATAAAACAACCTTTAACATGGTAAAAACGGAATTTTCTGCTTGTTCCTTATAATTGAATATTTTCCCTAACTTTTATATTGCATTTGAATGCCTGAATATGTTAATGAAAATGTTTCCAATGTTTTCTAAATTGACAATTGTTTTCTAACTTTATCAAAACAAGGTCACAAGTTGTGTCATTGTAAATTGCGCAAGTGACCTGGTCATAAATCTTTAAATTGAAAAAAAAGCCCACAAAAGCCCATTTTCTAACCTTTTCAGATCGAAACTATAAGTAATTATAGATAATTTAAAGGGTTGAAGTTAACTTTTTTTCCACTCGGTCTGGCTAAAAAACTCGACTACAATTTGTCATTGCCTGAAAAATGTAAATATATTTTATGATAAAATCGCTATGCCTTCAAATAATTTCACATTTTAAAAATGCTTTTCCAATTCCAGCGATGTAATTTGCAATACTAATTAATTGTCGGAGTCTCTATTTTATAACAAGTTAATTTTTTTCCATTTTAAGGATAAATTTACCTTAAAAATTTGCACTTTTTGATTGCCCTTTAAATATTTTTGTCTCTTGTTTTTGCTTCGCTTCATCTTTAAAACTCCCGCTTCATCCGCGCATTTCGCACGCTCGCGCCAGTCTCCCGTGCATCACACATGGATCAGGCAGGGCGTAACAGCTGGGCATTCTGTTGTCGCTGTCTAAATATTGCGGGCGCATTTCTTTAACAAACATTTTGATTCTTCGAACGCTGAAAATATGCATTGTGAGAGGATTTTTTGTCCTCTTTTACTGGTTTGTTCATGGCAAATAAAGTGTTTCTTGAAAGATTAAGTTGTAGTGCTTGTACGCAACGATATAACGACTTAATCGCATGAAAACGTGCGAAGAATTTTTATTTACAAATGGGCGACAAGTGGAAATGTTTCACTCATTGTCAGAGTTTCAGAAGCAGGGTACAGCAGTATGGAAACAAGGAAGTGTTCATATTTTGCTCTTGATAGAAGCTGAGTTGTTGTTGTTTCCACAGGTATGTTCAATAATTTGTTTGTCCTTCCTCATCTGGAATAATAAGTGTCTTAAAATACATATTTTGATGAAAATGACACATATTCCTCTTGCAATTTCGTAGAAACTGGCCGTTGCCTTCAGTTAGAAAATATATTTTATGAAAGTTAAATCATACTTTGTTTTATTAAAACCTGAGCTATTCATGGGAAAAATGTGCTAGATGTTGTAATTGACAAATCCACTTGTGAAGTGAAAATGTCATGTTGTCACATGCTTATGAAATTGCTCCTGTATTGGTTTGTTATAAAGTAAAAATTGCTGCAAAAATGCTTTTGAAAATGTTCAAGTATTGGTTGTTATGAGATAGGAAATGCCGTATTGATTTGTTCAGTTTTAAGAGTCTAACGGCAATCCTGAATATAGGCATGCTTGCTTTGTGAAATTCTGTGGTGATATGGCATATAAATAAAAATATCTTAAAATTTTTACCATTGCCTCTCTCCGAAATATGGCTTAAAACTATCCTTATTAGTCAACCTTCATGGAAAAGTTAGTGGGTATGCTGGGAAAAATGCGCGCGGCACTTTTTTTGGACACTGAAGATGGTAACATTTGATGTTGTCATATATTGCCATCCTCTTATCATAGCATAACTTAACTTATTTTAGTGAGTTTGTTAAAGCATTGTGCTCACTATATGCCTGTAGTATCTAAGACTTTTTCATAGCATTATATGACAAATTTAAGTTCTGTTTTCTTTTATTTTTAGGTGATAGTATCTGTTCACTTGAGTGTTGGTATCAAATTTTGGACAAGTTTCAATTATTATTTCACATTCCTTTATTCAAATATCCAAATAAATGGAATATGACATCAAACTGGACGACTAGATTCTGTTTCCAAACTTGTTTTTGTAAAAATAGAAAATAACAACTTATTATGTGTTGTTCTAATAAAAACTATTGTTTTTGATATGCATATTTAATTTTTAAAATTACAGTCATTCTTTGCTAAAATGTGTACCAGGAATACTGAAATCTTTCAGATCAGCTACCAATTCCCTTTATAACTTATGTAGCCAAGTGTTCTATCAATTTCTGTTCAGATTAAACAAATGATGGGTAAAATATTAGTTTAGATTCTTTCAAAAAAAATGAGCTTGCCTATTTTGAAAGCATAAAAAGCAATAAAATAAAGCAAAAGTACTTATTTTTAATTTAAAACCTTTGGATTGCATAGCTTAATGTTTTCCACTAAATATTACAAAGTTTTTATTCATTGAAATGTTGTTTTATCAGCTTTAAAACCAGATAAATACACGAAGCACTCCTATAAATATGTCGCCATATTGATTTTTTCGCGCATGCTCCGTACAAAATGCCCAGCTGTTGCAGGGCGTAGTAAAACACGGGCGGTGAAACGCGCTAATATTTGCCTGATCCATGTGTGATGCACGGGAGACTGGCGCGAGCGTGCGAAATGCGCGGATGAAGCGGGAGTTTTAAAGATGAAGCGAAGCAAAAACAAGAGACAAAAATATTTAAAGGGCAATCAAAAAGTGCAAATTTTTGAGGTAAATTTATCCTTAAAATGGAAAAAAATTAACTTGTTATAAAATAGAGACTCTGACAATTAATTAGTATTGCAAATTACATCGCTGGAGTTGGAAAAGCATTTTTAAAATGTGAAATTATTTGAAGGCATAGCGATTTTATCATAAAATTTATTTACATTTTCAGGCAATGACAAATTGTAGTCGAGTTTTTTAGCCAGACCGAGTGGAAAAAAAGTTAACTTCAACCCTTTAAATTATCTATAATTAGTTATACTTTCGATCTGAAAAGGTTAGAAAATGGGCTTTTGTGGGCTTTTTTTTCAATTTAAAGATTTATGACCAGGTCACTTGCGTAATTTACAATGACACAACTTGTGACCTTGTTTTGATAAAGTTAGAAAACAATTGTCAATTTAGAAAGCATTGGAAACATTATCATTAACATATTCAGGCATTCAAATGCAATATAAAAGTTAGGGAAAATATTCAATTATAAGCAACAAGCAGAAAATTCCGTTTTTACCATGTTAAAGGTTGTTTTATTTCTCTTTTCGAACTTACAATATGCAACTAAAATGTCCGCCAAAAGACTCCAAATTGCATGTTCACAGCGATGTCGCAGTTTTACAAGCGCGGAAACTTTTTAACTTTTAAATATTTCATGCACAATATATGAAAACTAGCTTTATTTTGATGTTTTTGGATAATTTAAGTACGTAATTTTCTGAAAATCATCAAATGATAATGGGCTTTTTTAATTTTTAAACATTTTTTGCCCTTATTTTTGACATGTGCATGCCAAATCTACACAATGCCATATCGAATGCAAGCAAGCGATGTAGTTTGTTGTCGCAGTTTTACAAGCGCGGAAACTTTTTAACTTTTAAATATTTCATGCACAATATATGAAAACTAGCTTTATTTTGATGTTTTTGGATAATTTAAGTACGTAATTTTCTGAAAATCATCAAATGATAATGGGCTTTTTTAATTTTTAAACATTTTTTTGCCCTTATTTTTGACATGTGCATGCCAAATCTACACAATGCCATAACGAATGCAAGCAAGCGATAGTTTGTTGTCGCAGTTTTACAAGCGCGGAAAATTTTTAACTTTTAAATATTTCATGCATAATATATGAAACCTATTTTTATTTTGATGTTTTTGGATAATTTAAGTACCTAATTTTCTGAAAATCATCAAATGAGAATGGGCTTTTTTGTTTAAACATACTTTTTTCCAGCTTTTTTCATAGGGTGTCAGATTTCAAAAACGCAAAGTCGAAGGCAATGCTATTCCATGTGTAGATTTCGGCATGGACATGTCAAACTGAATCAGGGCAAAAATGTTTAAAAATTAAAAAAGCCCATTTTCATTTGGTGATTTTCAGAAAATTACGTACTTAAATTATACAAAAACATCAAAATAAAAATAGGTTTCATATATTGTGCATGAAATATTTAAAAGTTAAAAATTTTCCGCGCTTGTAAAACTGCGACAACAAACTATCGCTTGCTTGTATTTCATGTGTAGATTTGGCATGCACATGTCAAAAACAAGGCCAAAAAAATGTTTAAAAATTAAAAAAGCCCATTTTCATTTGGTGATTTTCAGAAAATTACGTACTTAAATTATATAAAAACATGAAAATAAAACTAGTTTTCATATATTGTGCATGAAATATTTAAAAGTTAAAAATTTTCCGCGCTTGTAAAACTGCGACAACAAACTATCGCTTGCTTGTATTTCATGTGTAGATTTGGCATGCACATGTCAAAAATAAGGCCAAAAAAATGTTTAAAAATTAAAAAAGCCCATTTCCATTTGGTGATTTTCAGAAAATTACATACTTAAATTATACAAAAACATCAAAATAAAAATAGGTTTCACATATTGTGCATGAAATATTTAAAAGTTAAAAATTTTCCGCGCTTGTAAAACTGCGACAACAAACTATCGCTTGCTTGTATTTCATGTGTAGATTTGGCATGCACATGTCAAAAACAAGGCCAAAAAAATGTTTAAAAATTAAAAAAGCCCATTCTCATTTGGTGATTTTCAGAAAATTACGTACTTAAATTATACAAAAACATCAAAATAAAAATAGGTTTCATATATTGTGCATGAAATATTTAAAAGTTAAAAATTTTCCGCGCTTGTAAAACTGCGACAACAAACTATCGCTTGCTTGCATTTCATGTGTAGATTTGGCATGCACATGTCAAAAATAAGGGAAAAAAAATGTTTAAAAATTAAAAAAGCCCATTATCATTTTATGATTTTCAGAAAATTACGTACTTAAATTATCCAAAAACATCAAAATAAAGCTAGTTTTCATATATTGTGCATGAAATATTTAAAAGTTAAAAAGTTTCCGCGCTTGTAAAACTGCGACAACAAACTATCGCTTGCTTGTATTTCATGTGTAGATTTGGCATGCACATGTCAAAAACAAGGCCAAAAAAATGTTTAAAAATTAAAAAAGCCCATTTTCATTTGGTGATTTTCAGAAAATTACGTACTTAAATTATACAAAAACATCAAAATAAAAACAGGTTTCATATATTGTGCATGAAATATTTAAAAGTTAAAAATTTTCCGCGCTTGTAAAACTGCGACAACAAACTATCGCTTGAAAAAAAGAACTTGCTGTTTTCGAGTTATCAATTTATGGCGCTTCATCTGGTGGAACTTGACAAAAATACATGTGATTGAACATACCTGATTTCCAAACACACATTCCAGTTGCAGGTTTTACAACAACAGCCGTTTAAAAAACTTTTTCTTCGTCTTTTTTTCATCTTATAAACGAACGAAATTGTTTTGCAAAAACAATCGATCCTCGTGAGTGAGATCCCAGACTTATATCTTACACTACAACATTCCCCATATAATCAGCCGTGATTAAGAATCCGGAAAAAAGATTTTGTGTATAGTAATAGCACAGATCCCAAATCCATTGTGAATTCAGCTTGAATTGTACCTTTTTACGTAGTAATTTTAAAAAGAAGTCAAAACAAACATGCATGCCTGATCAAACCACATCGAATTCGAATAAAAATGAAAATATGCGGGGGGACCTGCATCACACATAGATCAGGGGCACCATAGCCGTTTCACCGCCCGTGTTTTACAGCGCCCTGGATCAGGCAAATATTAGCGCGTTTCACCGCCCGTGTTTTACTACGCCCTGCTATATCCCATGCATGCTCCTTCATCCGAAATAATCATTGTTTTTATATCTTCAAACTCCGAGTTTATCCGCCGTATAGCGATTTAAGAGACCGTTTGAGTTTACACGGTGGATAGGCAAAATTTAACCGGTGCATAGTGCTAAACGGGCTTTGTACTTCGTACAACGCGATTTTTGAGTGAAGCGTTTAAATTTTATCCGGTGGATAGCGACTTAAACGCCTTTCGTACAACCGGCGTCTGGGCTACTACCGAACATTAAAACACCTTAGGCTTAGCTCAGACACATATCGTGCATGTGAAAACTTTGAAGGTTATTTTTGCAAATCTTGCATGGATTTATTGAACGTTTTGGGAAGCACGGTTGCCAGATTTGTTTAATTTGTTTCACTATAAGTAGAGTTTGGTAAACCGATAAGAAGAGTTATGTCAGTTCTCTTATAACTCGCAAGCCAAAACAGTGAGTTATATTGTGTTTGCTAATGGATATTTGAACAACCGGCCTCTGTTGTTTGACCGAGTAAAAAAGATACAGGCTATAATTGGACAAAAGAGAAAGGTTAAAAATAACGCGATTGCATTTTTATCAGAACTTTCACCATAATTTTTTTAAATCTCTATTGTTTTCAAGGTGTTTAAAACAACGCCTGAAGGAAAAAGAAAGATCGTTGTCGCAACAAACAGTGCAGAGACGTCACTGACCATTGATGGCATTCGTATTGTTATTGATTCAGGCATGGTGAAAGAGCCGTCCTTCGATCCTGCTAGAAATATGACCACTTTGGATGTTAAACTTGTGAGCCAGAGTTCTGCTAAACAGCGGAGTGGTAGGGCACGTACGTTAGCGCTTTTACAGAACTTGCGAATACGTTTGGAAAGAATGAATGGCGGATATGGTTAGCGCGCTGTTCCTTACTGTTGTTTCTTGATGTACAATTACCTTGACTTGATAAACATGAAAACTCGTTTAAGTCGAATTGTGGTTGGTGTTACCCTGTGCTTCAAGAGTTTTTCTCTGAATCCTATGGTTGACTTCCTTCACCAAAAATAACCCTTCTCACTCTGCTCCGTATAATGAGACATGCTGCAAGAAGATTTGCAACCCGCAACAGGCTTTTTTATTACAGCTCAGTGACTGTGTACAATATCGGTATTGCATACTATATATTGTAAATTGTGCTGTATGCCGTGAGTACTAGTTGTGTATACAATTATTTTGCGAACACGTTTTATATAACAGACGTTGTGTTGTAAGTATCATAAAGCCAATTTTCCACTTCGACGGTATCGTAACGTATCGTGGCATTTTCCACTCTAGTGCTCAGGAAACAAAGAAATACGCTTCGCTGTGATATGGTTAAAGTGGAAAACTGACTTAAAGTATTGTTACGTATAACAGGGCCTTTATTTTTAGCGGGATACATATTTCTGTTCAGATGAATTAAAAGTTAATATACGCCATTCAGGATAACTAAAACCTGTAATTTTATTTCTTGCTAGGTCGTACAGGGCCAGGCAAGTGTTACTGTATGTATACAGAAGAAGATTATAACAAAATGGACTCAAATACAAAACCAGAGATTTTAAAAATGCATCTTGGGATGGCTGTCCTTCAGTTGCTGAGTTTAGGAGTCACAGATATCGAGAAGTTTGACTTTGTTGAGAGTCCACCACCTTCTGCGCTGACGAAAGCACTAGTGAACTTGACACTACTGGGTGCTTTGAACCCTGACAGAACATTGAACCATTTAGGCGAAGAAATGCTTCAACTACCAACTGAACCACAGCTATCAAAGGCGCTGCTCGAGGGACTGGACCGAGGGTGCGGTGATGACGTCATCATTGCCGCGGCACTTATGTCGAGTGGACATGACGTTTTTTATCGAGGAACCGTGGAGAAGAGAAACGAGTGCGAGATTCAAAAACAAGAATTCTGCCAGACCAGTGGTGATCTCCTGAGTGCAATCGATGTGTACAAAAATTGGTTTGCGAAGTCCTCTAAGACTCAAGTAGCCTGGTGCAAGGAGAATGCATTGAATTCCAAATTACTTCGCTCTGCTCGAGAAACTGGTAACGAGATTCGAGATGCGCTGTCTAAAATACGACCTAGACTCAACTTACAAGTGACAACAGAAAACATCCAGGAATCTCTCGGTAAAAGTTTGTTAGCTGGATATTTTGAAAATATAGCTTGGTCAATTGGTCATGAGAAGCTCGGCTATATGACGGTTTCGTCCAGTCAGAAAGCCAGAATTCATCCTTCATCTGTTCTCTCCAGTCTTGGTGATCAGCCTGAATGGGTACTGTACCAGCAACTGAAACGTACGAATCAGGTATTCTTACTTAATCTAACACCAATACACTATGACTGGATCGCGGAAGTTGCTATGCATATGTTACAGTATGTTGATGAAGAAACCATTGCAAGATCACGAGTTGTACGACACAGGATCTACCCAATTGGTCCAGAGCTGGTTAAAGCTGTGATTGGCTATCAAGGTTCAACTATAAAGCAGATAGAAACCTCTGTATCAGAATACAGTGCCAGGTTTCCAGTAATTGATGGACACACTGCATTTTGTGCAGTGGAATGTAACGTAGACAAAGGAATGGTAGATGTCTATACGACTAAAGATTGCCTTAATTACGCCAGTAACCAGGTGAACGATGTGATTCGGAAGAAGCGACGTGAACTTGAAGGTTACTCAGAAGTCTTCATTTCAAATGTTGGAGGTCTGAAGTCGTTAGTTGCAAACGACTTGACAACGAGATTGATCCTTCAACCTGGAACATCTTGCAAGTTTGATGTCTTTGTGGAGAAAGAAGATGTGGGCGAAGAAGTTTGTATTATTTTGTATTGATTTAATATTAGTGTTGATCTCTTTCAAAGTTGATATATGAGATAGCATCGCGGATGTAGTATAGAAGGTTCATTAGTAGGGTTCATTAATAGGGCCACAAGTTTACTAGTTGTCAAACTGTTATGTGTAACTCTCGGTAAATAAAGTTTCAAACAAACAAAACAAACAAGGGGTATACAAAAGATCACCGGAATCACAGAACTGCAGGCTGTATTCCTGCCGGGTGGATTATAGTATATGGCATTTCTTGCAACTTATATATTCCATCCAAGCATACGTTAAACATTATTCGGTTCTCGTTATGTTTTTTTAATTCCCGAATGGCTTTCAGAGGCTCCCTGAAATCTTAAAATCCTGAATCCTCCTATTTTTTCTACCAGGAAACCCTAACTAGGAAATTCTCAAGAGCCCAGAGTACCATTTTCCGTGTTTGAATCTCTTTTTCTTTACCACAATAATTGTTATCTTAGTTTCTGCAAAACCTGTTGTGGACACTCATTGTAAACCACACGTGCATTGGCTCGAAGCTAACCGGAGAAAGCCTTCAAATAACTAAAGAGATTTTGAAAGCACTACGTTGTAGCCTGGTTGATGTAGTTGCGTGTAATGAAAAAAAAACAATGTAGGTTAAAACTGTAAAAGTTGTGAAAAAGCTGTAAAGGTTGAGAAAAACCATCTATAACAGGGTCTTTATACTTTCGTTTAGGTCAATTCTGATGAGGTTCTTTGCATACTCCGTGATGGGGGAAATGTTATTCATGATGCTGCCTGCACCAATCCAAAGAGTGGACCTAATGTTTACAAATGGGGTGACGTGACGTACTCTGATGTTAGCCAAGCCAAGAAAGCAAATACCAACCTACACTCTGTTCGAAATCGAGATGAATTGCCTTACAACGTGAGAAGAATACAACTGAAACCTACCCGTGTTGAGAGTACTGCATCTCAGAATTATACCCAGTCTTCTGGTGTTAAGGTTTTAGTTAGCTGGTTCCCTTTGCCTGCCAGAGAAAAAGCTTACATCAAGTGTAAGAGTCGAGATATCGCTAACGAAATAGTCTGCAACCTCAACCGACAAGTGACATCTAGGTTTTCAAAAAGATGTTTTGTGCAGAAATCAGGTGGCGATATCGCTGTATTTGTTCAGGAAACAGACGATGAATTTACAGTCAGGAAACGACTCGAAGGTTGTTGTACCACGTTCCAAATTGAAGGCGTCTTGAAAATCACAGTTCCGTCCAAACCATCACTCCATGAAGTAGATCTTCAAGCAGAGAAAGAAAAATTGATGGAAGTCATGAAAGATTTCGAAACTGTACAAGTCCTGACACTTTGGTTTGCAAATTGTAAAAAAGTTCGTGCATGTGTAGTGTTCGAGAAATTAGAAAGCACTGAGGACGTTATCCTCAAGTTGAACGAAAAGAGGGACGTGTTGGGAGTTAGGGCGATGTATCTGGAGTTGGAAAAAAAGAGAGAAATCACGTGTGATGGCAGATTGTACGACAAGATAAGGAAGGAAATCGAAGCACTTAAGAATGATGAAATCATTATTGAAGTGGAGCCACGTCAGAGACGTAAGAAGATAATAATTACTGGAAAGGACCCTCAGGTTAGTTGTACATGTTTATATGTCAAAATATAAGGAGATGCATTTTATCTCCTTGTTGTATTTACAAGCAGGGCTGATATGCAAAACTGTTGTCAAAACTGCTTTCGTGCATAAATTGCAAGGTAAGAGAAGGGGTGCAATTAATGATTAAGATTACGAGTGATTTTTAAAAAATGTGGTGCCAAATTGCACGAGTCGCCATTTATTTGTTATATACATGACAAATTATAGCTATTCTTCCCGGTGTTGATGTCACGTGATTGCAGAGAACACATGTATAATTTGAAAGTTGAAACACGGATGAAATAAACAAGATCTGATTATTTAAACATCTAAACTATATGCAAGGAATAACTATAAACGTCTTCCGTAACAATAAATGATTTAAGATTGATGTGCATGAACTGCGAATATTTATTAGAAATTATCAAAGCGAAGCAGCGAATTGCAAGTTCTTGATTCGTCAACAAACAATTGTTCACGTTCAAAATATAGAAGAAAGAGAGTTTTAGGTCATTGCTTTTTTGCGTATTTTCATTTTCTGATTTTGTTTTAAGAAAGTGAATTGTAGACAGGGGCGGATTCAGCGTCTCAATGTGACCGTAGCATTTTGGATGAAATCAACATGCGGGGCCGAAGGCCACGCCCTACCTAGGGGGGTTTGGGGGCATGCCCCCCCCAGAAAATTTTTGAAATTTGAAGCCCGCAAGTACCATTTCCTGCATTCTGAGCATCGAAATTAGATTTAAAATTTGTAGAAAAGTGGCTGTTTTTCACACCAAAATAAAAAAAAAACGCACAAAAGTTACAAAATTTATTCATCAACATACCACTTCGGACAACAGATTATCTTGAAAAAGTAAGATAACAGTAGTTCGAAAGTTTTCAAATGTACATCATCTTGAAACAGCGGCCCAACAACAGTTAGGGACAATGTTTATCTGGCTAAGCAGCAGCATATATAGATCATCCCGAAACAGCAGGACAACTTATGGCAGTCAGGAAACTGAAATATTTTCTGTACTGTATATAGATTATCTCCAAGTTATAGGAAAAATGTTTATTTGTAGATCATCTTGAAACAGCAGCACAACGGCAATTAGGAAAAATGTTTGTTTGTATATGTTTATTTGTACTAAAATTCGAGCAGTACTGCAGGAATTTGCGCAGAGCTTGGTGCGCAAATTTTAGTATATTCAAGACAGGAATAGGCATGGTGGTGGAGTCGCAATATACATAAGAACCTCAATAAACTTCATAATAAGAGACGATTTAACTGACGATAATCTCGAAACAATTACACTTGAAATTTCAAAACCAAAATCCAAACCATTCTTAATTAATAGTTGGTATAAACCACCCAATACAACACTTGAAATATTCAATGCATTCGAGGATTTAATTACTCGAATGGACTCTGAAAACAAGGAAATCATTTTACTTGGAGATTACAACTGCGATTGGTCTCGCTTGGATAGTAACAGCGCTAACGCTCAGACAAACAAGCTTGCTGGAATTGCACAGACATTCCAATTTCAACAATTAATTAGTGATCCAACGCGAATTACAGCTAATAGTAAAACCTTAATAGATCTAGCATTCACCAATAAACCGGAATTGATAAATGGCTCGGGTGTCATTCATCTGGGGATAAGTGATCACAGCTTAATCTATATACAGAGAAAAATTTCCGTTCCACGTAAAGAGCCAAAAGTGATTAAATCAAGAAATTTCAAACACTACAACTCAAACAACTTTAAATCAGACCTTTCCACACACTTATATGATCAAGTATTCTGTGATACAATGCTTGATCCAAATATTATGTGGGAACATTGGAAAACAATATTTCTGTCGGTTGCAGATTTTCATGCACCAGAAAGAACAAAAAAAGTTAGAAGCGAGTACGCGCCATGGATTACAGAAAATATTAAACAAACTATGCGTCGAAGAGACTTTTTAAAGAAAAAAGCAGTTAAGACAGGATCAAAACATTTCCATGATGCTTATAAACGCACACGAAATGATTTGAATAGATTAATTAAGAATACAAAAGCAATTTACTTTACAAATACTTTAAATGACTGTGATAACAACCCAAAGAAAATGTGGAAAACAATTAATAAACTTACAAACAAACAGTCAAAAACAACTGTTATATCTGAAATCCGGAACGATAATCAAAATTTGACTAAAAAACACGAAATTGCAGATGCTTTAAATTCACATTTCAACGAAGTTTCATCTCGTTTGGCTAACAACATGCCACAGAGCTCAAGGACATTTGAGTCATACGTGACTAGGTCCGATACACAATTTACGATACAAAATGTTTCATTAACTAAGGTATATAAGTTGCTCTCTACAATTAAAACATCCAAATCAGCAGGGCATGATAGAATACCCGGTAAACTTCTAAGAGACGCTGCTGAAGTAATCGCACCATCCCTGTCAGCAATCTTTAACGCATCTATAAACACTGGTATATTTCCTGAAGACTTCAAGATTGCTATCATTTCTCCAATTCATAAGGCTGGAAGCAAATCTAATTGCGATAATTATAGACCAATCTCGGTTCTATCCTCAGTTGCTAAAATATATGAGAAATTAGTTACAGAGCAACTAGAAATTTATCTTGAAACTAATCACATTCTTGCAGAACAACAAGCAGGATTTAGGAAAAATCACTCTACACAAACTTCTCTACTTAACATCACGAACCAATGGCTAATGAATATGGATAAGGGTTTGTTAAATGGAGTGATTTTTTTGGATCTCAAAAAAGCGTTTGACTGTGTTGATCATAATATATTGTTAAAAAAAATGCATTGTTATGGAATAAGAGGTCATACGCTTGCTTGGTTCCAGTCCTATCTTTCTAGCAGGATTCAAATATGTAAGGTAGATCAAACAATGTCCACGACAAGAACAGTTAAATGTGGAATACCCCAAGGTTCTAATCTTGGGCCACTTCTTTTCTTATTATATATAAACGACCTGCCAAACTGCCTGACCTCATCTTCAGCAAGCATGTTTGCCGATGACACAAATGTTTCAACCAATGGCAAAACAAATGACGAACTACAAGAACGCATTAACGTGGACTTAGAAAATATACACCAATGGTTACTTGCAAACAAACTTACACTTAACAAAGATAAAACTGAATACATGATTATTGGTTCAAGACAACGAATTTCAAACTTAGTACTAACGGACCCTAAAATTGAACTTGGCGAATCAGTCATTAAACGGGTTCACAAATCAAAAACTTTAGGCGTAATTATTGATGAACATCTTTTATGGAATCATCAAATCCAAAATATTGTCACAAAAGCTTCAAAAGGAATAGGAATGATGCGACGAATAAAACAGTTTGTTCCCAAATCAACCTTAGTAAAAATATATAATGCCATTGTGCTATCACATTTTGATTATTGTAGCTTGGTTTGGGATAACTGTTGTGATTACTTAAAAAACAGACTTCAGAAATTACAAAACAGAGCGGCTCGAATCATCACTGGTAAAACTTATGAAGTTAGTTCTGAGGATGTTTTAAAAGAATTAGACTGGCAACCTTTAAACCAACGCTATAAAACCATTAAATCGATTTTTATGCACAGAATACGAAACGAAAAAATGCCATCATCAATTTGCAACATGTTCAAAATTAAAATAAATGACAGATATGATTTAAGAAGTAACAATAACAACTATGATCTTGGAAAACCTGAAACAAATTTTATGAAAAAGAGCTTCAGTTATTCAGCTGCATCCCTTTGGAATGACTTATCAACTACAGCAAAAGAAAAAGGCATTAGCCTTAACAAATTTAAACGTATTCTTGACGGCACTTGATTCCTTTTGGTAACTTTGTAAATATTTAAATAGGATAGAATATTTTTAGATACAAATGTAGTGCATGCAATTATTAAGTTCGTTATGTTTTCTCTGTTTTTGTGTGTATATTTGTGTTATTATATTTATATAGCTTGTAAATACTGTAATAAACGGCCTCTTGAAAAGCAGGTGCCTACGAGCCCTGAAGAGCTACCGTTTTAAAATATTTTTAAATAATAATAATAATAATAATACTGGGGCAAAGACGCTCAATGTATGATATGTGATGAATAGTCGCCTCTACTGTTTTCGCATGTCATTGATTTCTGCGAGTTATGCTAGTATGGTACGTCTAACAGCAAGGCGGGTGGTGTGGAGTTCACACCAAAAATGGACAAATAAAAGACCCAGCAGATTGGACCGAACGTGACCTAGCACGAATGACTCCGGAAGCAAGAGAGGATTATGAACGTTTTATATTGAGCAACCGACCAAAATATATTCCAATGAAGCCGGAGAAACTTGCAAAGTTATCCCCAGAAGATAGGCAAGAATATGAGAACTCTTTAAAAATAACAAAAACACCTAGACGTTACGCTCTTAGAAGTAGACCGTACTAAATTTTGTAAAACGTTTTGAAGAAATAAATGTATTTTAAAACTGAAATCTTGTTTAAATTTTTGCCCGCAAAGCCTCGCGCCCGATTTTAAGGCATACACCTGTGTTATAAATAATCCCTATCTATCCATTGGGTACACTTAGTTATGCAAATTCGTATTGCCTTAATCCCTTAATTACCTACACGCCTCCTAATGACTTAGCAACACATAACAACGTATATAACGACAGCATATTTGATAAAAACATACTTTTATCGCAAAATATATTACAACTGTTCTAAACGTTTTTTCCTTCAAGTATTCTTGATAAGCTTTCTTATGATCTGACTCGGTCATCATGTAACAGTATATATGTATGTAGGAGGTTTGCTAAATAATGTTGAACAACATGCAAATATTGACCATAACAACAACGACGTTGACAACCATGTTAACTTAGCTACTGCTTAGTTCGGTTTTGAGATATGTTGCGATTTTTTATTTCTGGTTGGAAACTTAAAATAATTAAAACGAATTTCAATTGCGTGTTGAAAATAAGAGAGGGATTGGGACTCACAACGTGCTACATGGTTGTAAGGCAAAAGAGTTTTCTACCGTACCGGGGTCGAACCGGTGACCTAAGGAATACTGATTTGGTAATAACTATAGCCCGCGTGCAGGCCCAAGGGAACTGATAGTGGGCCTGCAAGCAAGGCCCGGTATTTTGTACTTTCCGCGTTCGCCCACGAACGCGGCATTCTGATTGGCTGTTTGCTGTTGGATTCTATAATTAGATCAGTGATTCATCACAAAGGCTCTCGATAAGCTTAAAATTCGAAAATTGATCGCTTTTTTCGATTATAAATGGAACAAGAACAGACTGTTTATTGTTTACTTGAAGGAAGAGATGTTTTTGGCGTTATGCCAATGGGGATTGCTTGTCGTGAGGTGTTGGAATAGCAATATTACGATTTACGACTGGGGTAAACTATAGTAACCTTTACTTAAGAAAATTATCATTTGGTTGATGTTGACTCTGTTCTTGCACTGAAGAAAACGTGGTGAAGATTTAGAGGCAGTTGCATGTAAGCCTATTCGAAACACTTTGCGATTTACAAGGCTTCGCTGAGAGAGCGAAACAGAAGGCGGTATTAAATTGCCGTTTGAAACGATCTGGACTCTGAACGCTCTCTTCTTTTGTAGAGTTCTTTAGCAAATGAAATAACTGAAATAAATTTCGTACTTTCCGCCTCCAACAAGAATTGCACACACGATCAGTGATAAGTGAGACAATTTATTTATAACAATGGCGACAGCGAAGCACACATTATAAATGCTATTTATGTACAGTAGTCGCACGGCTTCCCTCGCGATATTTTGGAGTTTGAGACTGGTTTTCTGTTGAAATTCGTCCTAATTTGCCTGTTCCGATTTTAGTTGAAAATGAGCACTTGTAAATTTGGCAATTACTGACTGCGTTACTTGCTTTTTTCGAGTTAAAACGCAACCATTTATACATTGTTTATGTTCTGAATAAGCAGAGAAAACCCCGCAATATTTTAATGCGAGTTTGTTTGTTAATATTTGGGTGCTGTCATTGGTTCTTTTTTGACAATTGACGCGCGAATGGGGCGTGTTATGAAAAGGGGCGTTTTACAAAATACCGGGCCTTGCTTGCAGGCCCACTATCAGTTCCTTTGGGCCTGCACGCGGGCTATAATAACTACAGTCCTTTGCTCTACCAACTGAGCTAACGGTAGATTTTAAAAACTAACTTCTATTTCATACTTTTATACAGGCAGAACTGTCAGAAACCTCTTGTCGATTTTATACAGACACTTGTATAAAAGTTCATAATAAGCCAATCTTAATCCCTCTATTGTATCGTTTAAGGGGTGGAGGTTTGGGAGGAAGATGATAAAATTTTAGGGTGGGATTCTTACATATTTTGTTCTATATATAATTAACATTTAGCTCTTTGTGTGTATACGCCCTTCGTGGAAACCAGTTGTAAATAATTGTCGAAGTTAGCGTATTGAAATAAAGTTTTACATACATACACGTGGAGCGACGCTAAAAAATGCTTAGTCAGTGCGTGACGTCATTACTTGCCTAAACTTGCCCGCGTGACGTCATTGCATATAATTATGACGTATGCTAATGATGATGCGCCGCCCTGAATTTTTAATGATGCCCTACCCTTCTTCCGCCCTTCCTCCGCCCCAAAATTGAGGATCGATCGGCCTCCGCCCTCTTCCGCCCCTTCTCCGCCCCCCCCCTCCACCCCTCCTCCGACCTTCCTCCGCCCCACCACCTCAAACTCCACCACCTCACACTCCACCACCTCACACTCCACCACCACCACACACCACCACCACAAAAAAGGGGCCCGAACGGTACCTATATTACTACTGTTCGGTATCAAATCGGGTAAATATTGGCCAGGCAGCATAGTGATAGGTGTCAAACATGGTGTTTGCTTTTCAATCCTGATGATATTTTATTAAAATACGGAGTGGTTCTCGTAATTATTATTGGTTAAATTCAATTATATTTTTATCAGTCATTATACCTAGTGAGTGTATATTCCTGTAATTTATTTTATACCAATGACAGCTCTGCTTTTTAAATATTGAAGCCTTCGCACTGAACTAAGATTGTATGGACCGTATTTCATTCACATGCTTTCTTATTTCTGCAGGTGTGGGATAGTGCATTTGCTCCAGGAAATAGCTCCTGCTTTAATTCATCATTTCTTGAAAAGTAAGTGTGTCCAACCACAGTTCAAGGAAATCTTCAATTTCTCATTTCCAAAACGAAAAATTGCTTCTCGCATTCAATGAATTAAATTGCCGTAATCGTTAAGAGTACCTGTTTAACAGTGACCACGTGATTACCGTCTTGCAAGAGAAGCCTAAGGTTGTCAGGTAACGCTATGAAAAAGAGAAAAGAACGACTTCACTATAGTAACTGCATCAGGTCTCGAATTTCCCTGAAATCAATCGACGGCAATGGCGTTAAAAGTTGCCGTAGAACGTAACATCTGTCTACGGCAATTTTGGCAGTTTCCACGGCATTTTTCAAATTACTATAATAATAATTTAATTTTATTGTTACTTTGGATTGTTGACAAGCTAGAAACATGTCTACGCATTTCTCTAGTGTTTTTTTTTTCGAAGAAAACTGAGACTAAAATAGTGATTTATGCATGATTTGATCAACATTTGAATGCAATTATCAAAGTAGTAATGCACAGTCAATAGTATAAAAATTGCACTATACGTCAAAAAATTGCCGTCGTTGCCGCAATGATCCACGGCATCTTCTCCCTCTACGGCAATTGCCGCGATAAAATTCAAGCCCTGAACTGCATGTGTCACTGTGAACGAAGATGAGCATTACCTATTTTCAATGAAAACTGGAATGAGTTACATGTGCCCAATCATGTTCTTGGCACGTCTTTGCATTAATGTACATGCCTACTGTGCATAGACTGCGAGCGGTCTCTCAGTATGGGTTCAAACTTCAAAAATTATGCCTGTTTCAGTTTTTCATTCATTTTTTTTGTTTTCAAACATATTTTATTTTTATTTAACGTTAGCTCTCAATTATTGACTATCAGGTCTTATTTATAGATGTATCACTTCGCATATGGAGACATTTGGAAGTACGGTAGTCATTGGAAAGGCAGTAGAACTGATCAACTTGGTGAGAAATATGGTCATCGTTAATTAGACAAGCTTGTTTAAAATTTCTTGCAAAGTTATTATATTAGTATTTTGTGTTTTAGCTTTTTGCATTTCGTGTGGTCTACGATAACTTGTCACTTTATTTGACAAACTGAACTTTGCCGATTGCAAGCGTAACAATTTTTGCTGCGACTTCTTAAGTGCGATTTTCGTATTCTGGTGCATGTGAACGGGTAAATAGTGAATGAATGTTCTGAATATATAATTGCTGTAAAAATAAAATAGTCTAAGCTCAGTAAGTAATTAGGTGATATCCACATGTAAATTTGCGCTATAGAAATCGTAATCGTATAATTATGTATCGTCATCTGGACATTCCGCATAGGGATGGGCCGATATCGATACCAAATACTCGATACTATCGATACCAGGGTTTTGAAGAAAAGTATCGATACTGGCAAGAAATATCGATGTTTCTATATTTCTGCGCCTGCGCTATTTTTTTTATTTTGGTCAGCGGCATCATCATGAAAATGATACCAAAAAGCCAACAAAAAGACTAAATAGGCGTAAATACTAGAAAAATAGTTCATTTTCTATTGTGCTATAATGGTCCACGGGCAGGATGGGAGTTTCTGGTTATGTTGGTTGCAATCACTGACATATATTATTCAATGTTTGTATTGTTAGCGTTGTTGCCGTTGTTAATGATTAAAAATAGTCTTTTTGTTGTTATGGTTGTTCGAGTTGGGAAATTCGATATCGGTATCGATATCGAAAAAACCCGGCAAATATCGAGGAAATATCGTATCGAATGAAAAAGCTGGTATCGCCCATCCCTAATTCCGCATAACTCACCATTCATTTACATCAATCAGAAGAACAAAATCGCACCAGATTCGATACTAAAGGAATACCGAATGGTTTTCCGTGCAGGATTGCGTGATCCGTGCACGAGGGATGTCGCGAGACTTTCGGAAAGCGTAAAAATACTCGAGTGTATTTTTACGCTTTCCTAAAGTCGAGCAACATCCCAAATGCATGGATCACGCTATCCTGCTTGGAAAACCATTTGATAATTGTTTTATAAAATAACTACAGTGAAACAATGACATTTTGAAAATCCCGCGAAGGCATTTTAATTCCTCGTGCAGGATAGCCTGATCCTGCACGGCTATTGGCCAATCAAATTGCGTGTTTCACTGTAGTTATTATATAAACTGTATTGAATTCTACCTGCATTGACCTTCAATGTCGTTCACATGACCTTGATAAGAAGATAGGACGGACAGTATTTGTATAATTGTGGACGTTCACCATGGGGTATTGCAGATAGTGACCGATCATGTGACAATCGGAAATTACCGATGGTTCCAAGCACCATGCCGATCCTCGTTCCGGTTGTTAAAACCAGTTGAATGACGTCATTCATTTTGCACGTAAATTGGCATACAGTACTTGGCATAAATTGACCTTGGCAAAAATTGACATTTCTCACAAGAGAAAAAATTAACCCCACAAAGCAGATCGTGGTTTTGCAAAAGAGAATTCAACATTCTAAAGAGTTATTTTATTTCCATAATATATATAATATAAGGAACTTTTACCTATTTCGATTGTCTGCCGATTATCGGTCTGTCACTAATTGCAGAATCTGTGGTTTGTGTAATTTCAGATGATCAACACGTTAGCATTATTTTTATCACCGGAAGAAAGATGTCAATCACGTCATGTGACAAATGATAAGAATATGGAGTATGACCCTGATCTATTTGTTCAAGGAATTCTAACGGTATTTCTCTTAATATATTACAGTTTTACGACTGCGCATATGTAGAATGCTCTAAAAATAGGCATATCAAGATCCAGCCTAGACCTAGGGCTTTTACTCAGCTGTTGGCACTTGATTTGTAGGTTTATTGACTTCATGACGTAACGAAACGGGCTTTGTCGCTTTCGCTCTTCCTTCGCCCCCGCCCCTAAATTACCTAGGTTTCAGTCTTCTTATGTGAAATCTTTTACTGTCGGTGCCACTGTAGCCATGGACAATAACACAACACCGTGGATTGAGATAGATACAACTGCATGGACCTGAAAATGTAAGGAAGGATCCTTCTGTCGAAACGACGAAGTTCTGGCTATATTTTCAGAAGTAGCTGCCACGTTCAATTTTCCTCGCTCTGGCAAGTTTCAGCTCTGCTCATGTTCTAGTCGATTAAGCGCTATATCTGTTCGGAAACTACATTACTCTGTTCCTATTATTGTTATTGTTATTGTTACCTTTACTGTTACTGTTATTGTTATTGTTATTGTTATTGTTATTGTTATTGTAGAAGGCTGTAAAATGGCTTGAGTCACTTTTGACTTCCATTACCGCTATCACTACCTCGCGCTAACCTGGTTTGCATGTAAGTGGTTAGTGATTTCCAACCAGTGGCAGTGTTGGTGGTGGTGGTGGGGGTCAAATATGAACCTCGCAAATAATTTCATAGTAGTGTGGTATTTATTCTTGCATGTTTTATATAGTGTAAAGGCCTGTTAAATCAGTATTACGTTGTCCAGTTTGTAGTCCGTAATATGTCGTGTTTTAGTGTTAGATGGATGGACTTAGTATGGGATTCTAGTTCTGTTGTCCAATCCTTCAATCATAGCTGTATGTGTATTTTTTATATGACATGATTGTAAAGTTAATAAAAAAAGGGGGGGGGGGATTTTCATCTACAAAACCATTCCACAACTAGTTCTATCAAGTGAGATGCCCCAAATCCTAACATTTACCTATTACTGATATACATAGGTTATAAACTATTATAAATTTCCGTTTATATTTCCAGAAAGAGGATGGCAGTTATGAGTTGAGTTCGAAGAAGGTTTTAACAAGTCGCTTTCCCACCACGGTGATTAATCTTGAGAAAGAAGATGTTTCACAGTCGAGTTTGTTTGCAGAACATTGTTCGACACGTCATCAGTTTTTGAACTTGGAGTTAGAGTACCTATGGAATGATGACGAGGATGCTCCCGTCTACCCTGCTTTGTAAGTTCGCATCAGGGGGGCCGGTTGTACGAAAGCCGAATAGCATTATCCACTATTGGCCGTTGACTGGTATAACCCAGATTAAACTTTAGCATATAAAATTAAAGTTTCCTTTCATTAATTTCCCATGTGATCCATATTCGTAGTTTCATCGATTTTCAAGTATTTTCACAACAGTAGAAAAATTCACAGACCTGTGGACAGCGCTATCTGGCCTCCATACAACCGACTCCAAAATGGTTTCTTAATTAATAATAGGGATAAACTGGTCAGGAATTACCCCCTCGTACTTTCCCTTGTAGGTTACCATCAAGAGGTTTATTGATCCAATCCTCACATACTTTATAGAACGTTCTCGTTCAATGAAAATTGTTGAATGTTTAGTTGGCTTTGTTATAACATGGAGACACTCTTTGTTGCAAAAAGATATGCAATACTTCGTATTTCCAGTATTCTCCCCAGATAGGTACAAAAAAGTACAAGGAGACAAGTGAGGAGATATTAAACTGGAAATTTGGAACTTTCTGTTTTAGGCAGCACTTTCTTTGCGATAGGAACGTTTTTTAACAAATGTTGAATAGAAAACGAGAGATTCACACAAGTGGAAGGAAATGGCCTGGGAAGCACAGGATGCTTCCTCTCCTTTCAAATGTTTTTATGAAGTGCTCTTTCATCGACATGTACTCTATTAAATTAAACTGATCTTCAGTGTGTCTTTGAAATTTATAATTTCTGTCTTCAAGTGTTAAAACCAGGCTACGGTTGTGGAGAGATCCAGAAATTATCGTCATATCAAAATTTCAAAAATATATAATTTTTGACAATAAGTACACGGACAGTTTATCAATAGCAGTTTTTGCTTGCAGAGGCTTATTTCACAACTTGAAACATGAAAGCAAGATGATTGGCGATATGTTGAGTGATGTAAGTATTCAAGCGTCTTTCTTCATTTATAAGTTGTAACATAATATTTTATTGCGTGAATCACAGCAGGAATATGTGAGTCCGAGAATAAAGCATGCATGCAACATGTAGTTAACGTCACGCGTTACGCGAACTGATATGAGAGGTAAAAATTCGCCCCCTGAAAAGTGGGTTCGGTTTCTGACGAATAAGAGAGAAGTTCAGGTTTGACTTCTGCCTCTTACTATCTCATATCTGCATGGCATGTATGAATTTTTATCCAAAATATCCGGCCGGATATTTTGCAACTATCCGGCATATCCGGCCGGATAGCAAAAAGCACCATCCGGTACACCCCTAGATTAGTTAATTTAATAATCCCTTGATGGTAGTCAGGCAAGCGCTAGTGGAAGTGCTTAGTGGTAGTGGAAGTCAACTCTCAATTAACATTGTACAGATAGCAGATGAGTTCAAAGTTAAAAACACATGTTTCGAAGGATAATCCAGTTTAAAGTTCTAAATATCTAAATTATGTATTTTGTTATGCTCGGCTATAGATTCAACTGTTACCACCACAGGACAGTATTCGTGTAGTTTATATTGAAAATTTCAAACGCCTTATACGAAGAAAAGCTGTGGCTGTCATTAAATACATCGAGGATCTTTCGTAAGTTGACTTACCGTACACCGTTATTTACAGCTATTAGGGAGCTTAAGCATGTAGGACGGCAACACGACGGCGAAGGCAACCAATGCAATGAGTGAATGAAAAGAGAGAAATAATTAAAGTCCCGGGCGAGTTTCAGACGTAGTCGTCGCTCTGTTTACAACGGCAAATCACAGATTTTCACGTCTTATACAACCCTTGCATTTCAAGTCGTAACAAGTGCAACTTAAAATTCGGTTTGATAGAACTCTTCCCAAACATAAAGCCAATGTTTTCATACGAATTATAATATACGACAAGTTTTCTTATTTTACTATCATTTATTTGAAGGAATTTGTTTTGGCCGTCGTCGTCGTGTTGCCGTCCTACATGCTTATTAATAAGCTCCCTATTAAATAATCCGCCTCACACCCTTGAAGGAATTTGGTATATGGAGATTTCGAGCAAAAACTATTCATCATATTTTAGACCTATATTGGGTTACGTAAAGGGGCTGTTAGAAAGATCTCGAGCGGTGGGTGCCAGTGTAGATAGAAAGGATTGAAAATGCGAGTACTATACATAGTACAAGTGCGTAAATTAATGCAAAACTACGGAAACTACTGAAAATTTGAGCACCCGAATTTGCAGGCTGGCATTGAAAACTACTGCACTTATTTACAATGGGGTAGACCGTCCGCCTCGATTTCAAGCTAGGGTTGCGTGTGCGCAAATTCGGGAAGTGTGTGTTGAAAATTTCATTTTGGGTTACTTCTATATATACTACCAGATTTAAATATGCTACTAAATCTCTTGAACATATACATTTTTTCTCTGTTTTAGGAGATTTGGTTATGAGCGAATGGATAGCAGTGGCTTACAAGAAGTAAGACAACTATTACATTTAACTAAGGACGGTGATTTTCTTATAGTCTTAGCAACTGCTGAAAAACTTCGTCCAAATATTTATTTGTGTGCAATGGGAGAGGGAGGGCAAAATGGAACTGAAGCGATATATAGGAATGTGTTGGGATGCTTGTAGCAAGCGCGCCTTAAGGTCCAGACACACCGGATGAGATTCGACAACGCGACGTGATTTTTTAGTTTTTGAAAGTTACTGAATAAAACAGCCAATGAGAGCTTTAAAAGATATGTAGACCAAATAACGCAAAATGTTATAACGCTTCTAAATATTTTGAAAATTTAAATTGGATCAACGTTATCAGTCAGTGAAAATCGAAAAATCTCGTCGCGTTGTCGAATCGCGTCCGGTGTGTCTGGACCTTTAAGCCCGTTCTCCACTAGGCGAATTTGTTCGCGCGAACAGTAAAAAAGTAGGAACTGATCCAACTTTTTCGCGGCGAATTTTTTCGCTGACCAATCACATTGCCAAGATTTTTTTCGCTTCGCGTCGCGCGAAAAACTTCGCCTAGTGGAGAACGGGCTTTAGACGTATACTCATCTTTTAGTAACTGGTCCTAAATTTGCATTCAGACGGATAAATGAGACGGATAAATCGTTAACAAGCATGGGAAAACTGGAACTAGAATTATCGAGATAAACATATCAATTATATATAAAACCTACATAAAATTTCAGATGGATTTCCCGTCTCTAATATAAATTAAGCCAATCAAAAGAGTAATGTGTTTACAAAATAATCAAATAGGTTCATTTTCTAATAAGTGTATAATTATATTGGGGGTGAGTGGTAAAGGCAACAAATCTATGACGACAGTATGAGGCCTGTTTCATACGTCGCACAATCGTCGAATTTTATTCAGACGAATTTAATTGAACGAATTAAATGCGACGGTAGTGCATTGTATAACAGGCGGCCCAATCTCGCAAGGGTCAGTATAGACTAATATAGTATAAATGTATATTATAGTAATGTATATTATAGTAAAAATATGTCATAAAATATAAATTTAAAAATGAAATTGACTTGCCTATTTGATGGTGTGTGTTCTCCTTGTATTCCTCCTTTGTTGGACTAATATTTTCCGAGACTTTGTACTCGATGTTACTAGTATACATGAAACATGATAAAGGCTAACTATTTCCGATCGTCGATCCGACGGCACGGCACTTCGAATCGAGAATGTTCACTCTCAAATCGCTTTATTCTCCAAAATATTCGCCAGCATGTACAACAAATGCCGTTCTTCGAAAATACGGAGGTACTTCGGCGAGATGTACAAGTTTTGGACCACATTTTAACAATGGAAATCAAAACCCATTTTATATTGAACTTGCCCAGACCGAAAATTACTACGGCGAACGCCTGCGCAACCAGGCCTCCTAAAACCGTTGGAATTTACGGGGGGGGGGCAGATATTTCCGGTAACAGCCAGCCAATCGCGGCCGCGATAGCGACTGTTTACATTATTTGAAATTTGATATTCAAACTAAAAACTCCTTCGATCGAATACTGTATAAAACTCGAGATGTTGTCGAAGAAAAGAAAACTAAACGACGGAGATTGAAGAAGTTTAAGGAAGAAGTAATATACAGCGGCTCTTTGTTGGAAAGCATGGTAGAATATGACACTTTAATTCGAAATATTATCGTGAATATATTAGTGGCATCGTCCCCCCTGTAAATCCAACGGTAAAGGAAGTGCCGTGCCGTCGTATCGACGATCGCGAATAGTTAGCCTTTATCTTGTTTCATGTATACTAGTAACATCGAATACAAAGTCTCGGGAAATATTAGTCCAACAAAGGAGGAATAAAAGGAGAACACATACTATCAAATAGGCAAGTCAATTTCATTTTAAAATTTATATTTTACGACATATTTTTACTATAATATACATTAATATAATATACATTTATACTACAGTATAAGTCTATACTGACACTTGCGAGATTGGGCCGCCTGTGA